TAGCTTTCCACACATTGATTGAGCCTCTCACTCTGACCATCAGATTGGGGGTGATAAGAGGACGTATAATGCAAGTCTGTTCCCAGTACCTTAAATAATTCCTTCCAAAACCCACTGGTGAAGACCTTGTCTCTGTCAGTAATGATGGATTCAGGCAACCCGTGTATTCTGAATATGTTATCCAGAAAAACTTGTGCTATTACTTTGGCAGTGAAGGGATGAGTGAGCCTAATAAAATGGCCAAATTTAGTGAATCTGTCAATCACCACTAGTATGGTGTCATTCCCTTGAGACTTAGGCAGCTTCTCAATGAAGTCCATGGAAATGTGAGTCCAAGCCTGTGTTGGAATGGGAATTGGTTGCAGCAGGCCAGGATAAGGTACATGCTCAGATTTATTCCTTTGGCATGTGTCACAGTTTCGTATGAATGTGATTACCTCTTGTTTCATGCCTGGCCAGTAAAACAGTGACTTAATCTTTTGCCAACAACTCTTCTGTCCTGAATGCCCCCCAACTGCTGAGCCATGAAGTACTTGCAGGATCTGGTGCCTAGTGTTATTGGCACTTCCCACATATATCTTCCCTTGGTATCTCAGCACTCCATCCACCAATTTGTAATCAGTGTAAGCAGTGGAGTCCAACAGTAGTTGAGCCATGATTGTTTGGCAGTAATCATCCTCCTCATAACTTTTCTGCAGTTCTTCCAACCAGCCTGGCCTAACAGCAGTGATAGCTAGGCAGGATCCATTCGTACTAACTGACTCAGGTTCATGCCTCTTAGATAAGGCATCTGCAACTTGATTTTCAGAGCCCTTCCTATACTATATCTCATAATCCAGCCCCATTAGTTTTGTCATCCACTTATGCTGTAGAGCAGTATGCAGTTTCTGATCCAACAGGTATTTTAATGACTGATGATCTGTTCTAATTACAAAGTGACTCCCCACCAAGTAATGCCTCCATTTTGTGACTGCCAGAACCAAGGCAAGAAGTTCCTTTTCATATACTGATAGTCCTAAATTCTTGGGTGATAGGGCCTTGTTCAAGAAGGCAATGGGGTGCCCTTCTTGCATTAGGACTGCCCCAATTCCCCCTCCACTGGCATCTGTTTCCACCACAAATGCCTTCTTGAAGTCTGGTAAACTAAGGACTGGAGCTGAACACATTAATTCCTTCAAGTGCTCAAAAGCTGCTTGTGCCTGTATACTCCATTTGAAGTTGTCCTTTCTGAGCAGTTCAGTCAAAGGCTTGCACACCTACCCATATTGCCTTACAAATCTCCTATAGTAGCCAGTTAGCCCCAAGAACCCCCTCAACTCCTTGACAGTTTTTGGTACTGGCCACTGCAAAATGCTGCTAACCTTGGAGTCATCCATTCTCACTCCCTGCTCAGTAATGGTATGCCCCAAATAGTCTATCCTTTCCTGAGCAAATGCACATTTGGACTTCTTCACATATAACTGGTTCTCTCGCAATATGTTCATTACAGTTCTCAGATGCTGGAGGTGTTCCTTTAATGTGGGGTTGTACACTAAAATGTCATCAAAAAAAACTAGGACAAATTTTCTGAGATAAGGTTGGAAAACCTGGTTCATTAATGACTGAAAAGTGGCAGGAGCATTTGTGAGACCAAAAGGCATCACCAGGAATTCGAAGTGTCCACAATGGGTCTGGAAAGCTGTCTTGAAGGTGTCCTGTGGTTTAACTCTGATCTGATGGTAGCCTGCTGTCAGGTCCAGTTTAGTTTTGAATACTGCTCCTGCTAACTCATCCAGCAACTCGTCTACATTGGGTATTGGGAACCTATCCTTGACAGTAAGTTCATTCAACTTTCTATAATTCACACAGAATCTCCAGGTTCCTTCTTTTTTTTTGACCAACAACACAGGAGAAGCAAAGGGGCTGTTGCTGTGCTTCACAATGCCTCTGTGTAGCATTTCAGTCACTTGCCTCTCTATCTCCTCCTTGTGATAGTGAGGGTACCTGTAAGGTTTGAGCTTGAAAGGTTGGGTATCTGGTTTAAGTGGTATCTCATGATTCACACTCCTGGTAGGGGGTAATGAGCTGGGAGTTTGAAAGACATCTTCAAACTCCTGCAGTAGTTCCTGCACTGCCTGTGGTATGGACTCTGGACTGCCCTCATTGTTCTGATGCGATCTCATGGCCATGCACATCTGTCTCTTATATTCAATGAAGGTCCTCAAATCCTTTCCCCTGATCAAGTCCATGTCACACTTATCTGCTTGGCCATGCAGGTGGATCTCCCCTCCTTCATGGTGTAATGAGATTCTAAGCTGCTGGAAATCAAAGGTGATGGGACTGAAGTGTGTCATCCAGTCCACTCCCAGTATGATATCCCATCCTCCTAGCTCCATGGCTTTGAGACTGAACTTGAATTGATGTCGGTTGATACTCCATTGCACCCCATGACAGACAGCATTGCTGGTAACACATGTTCCATCCCCCATGATCACAGAAAAAGGTTGTTCCACCCACTGATACTTGAGGTCCATCCCAATGACCAACTCACTACTGATAAAGCTATCAGAACTTCCAGTATCCACTAAGATGAGCACCTCTTCCCCATCCAGAACTCCTGTCAATGTAATGGTTTTTCTTTTCAGTGCCTCAGACAGGGCATGCAAGGACATTTCCATCGTCTGGCCAGGATTTCCAGTTTATTCATCCTGTTCCCCCAAGGCATCTTCAAAGGCAACTTCCTCCTCTTCCTCCATGATCAAGCAGTTCATGTGGCCACCCTTACACTGATGCCCCACTCCATATTTTTCCCCACATTTAAAGCATAATCCCTTACTCCTTCTGTACTGTATTTCTTGTGCAGAAAGCCTCCTAGGATCTTTGGTGCTCTCCTGCATACCTTCCAACTTAGAAGGTTTTTGGCTGTTGTAGAAAGGAAGTTTATATGAAGCAGCCCCTGGGGTGGTAGTAGCACTTCTGGACAATCCCAGCCTGTTGTCTCCTATAGGTTTGACATTTTCCTTAGAGCTCTTATGCTGCAGTTTCAAGGAATACTCTTGCCATTGTGACAGTTCAAATGCTTCAACCAAAGTTACAGGTTTCAACATCTTAATCATAGGTTTGATCTCCTCCTTCAGTCCACTCAGAAAACTAGAGATGAAGTACTTTTCGTCCAGATTACGATTTCTTATCATCATCAAAGCCTTTAATTCCTCGAATTTCTCCTGGTATTCTTCCACACTACCTACTTGTTGAAGTTTATTAAATTCTTCTACTATATCTCTACCAGTTCTGTCATTGAATCTGAGACACAGTAATTCCCCAAATTCTTCCCAACTAAGTCTAGGTCTCTCAATTCTGACCCCTTGGAACCACCTATCAGCCTTGCCTTCTAAGTACATTTCGATTACATCAACTTTATGTTCTTCAGGAACTTGATAATTCAGAAAATACTTGTTGCATTTACGCAACCATTCCCTAGGATTCTCCCCAGCAAACATTTGCAAATCAATTTTAGGAGGATTCGGAATGTGAAACTTACTCCAATCCTTCTTGAAGTTCCTCTGAGTCTCATACTCCAGTGATAGCCTCTGATGACCTGGTGGTGTTGGCAGTAGTGGCGATTGGTCTATCATCCTGCCGCCTCCTTCGGTTGCCTTCTCTTTTCCATAGGACAGCTTAGACAGTAGGTCGTTAAATTTCTGTTCAAGAACTAGATTGAAATTCTGCTCCATTCCTGATATCAGGTTCTCCATACGCTTGTTATTCTCTTCAAGCTCCATCTTCAGGTCCTCCTTGTCCTGCTGGTGCTCGGATCTAGTCGCCTGAATGGCTTCCACTAGCTCTTGGAGCTTAGCTTCTTGTTTCCTCACCTGTTCTTCTATGGTGCGGAATCTGGTACTTTCCGCCATGACTGTGGTTCAGCTCCAAGGATTGCCTGCTCTGATACCACTTTGTCACGACCTCAAGGTTAATTTCTGGAATGATGGAAGAATTTGAGAATGTTGATTGAGAAGAGTCAAGAATTTAGAGAGATTGGGAGATTTGAGAGGAAGAACAGAGAAGGTTAGAGAGAGAAAGTAGAGAACAAGATTGAAGAGCAGCAAGTTTTGTGATTAATTTCCGTATCCTCCATTACATGTGGGTCCCACTTCTTATAACCAACCTAACCAACTTAGCAACAGAATTTAACTACCAGATGCCTCATTAAGTGAAACGGCATCGTATTGCTATTACTAAAGAAAGCCAAAACTGCATCGTTTAACTAATCTACGGACTAAACTAACTATTGCTCCAATTGGTGCTCTAATTGAGCCATTATTGCGTTAAGGCCCTATAGCTTGTGACCTGACAAAGTGATTGTGATTTGGTCGTTTATAAAGATAAAAATTAGCCAAAAAAATGAATCGACAATTTTGACCCTCTAAAATCAAGCCCACAAGTGCAGATAAAGGGATTTAGTTTGAGTTTACGGTGAAATTACATAAAATGCTACAAAATATGCACTTTCGTTAGTTCAGTAACATTTTTTATTAATAAATAAATTTAGTGACTTGAACAAGTGCTAGCGTATAATTTAGTGGCATTTCTAGCGATCTGCTCGTCGCCAGAATGTCCACTGTCTTGAAACTTAAAAGTTAAATGCTTAAAATGTTTACCACTAGTTGTGTTATCAGTCAAATTACACGACCTACCCTCTGACTGTATTTTGATTTTTGTCCCTATAGTTAATGTATTTTGCCAATTAACCCTAGTTGTTACGAATATTTATCGAAGAGCCTTGTATCAAAGGATCTTTTAAAAATGCTCTAGTCCAGTCATAATATAAAGGTTGTAAATCGTATTTCCTATGAATAAGTATAAAATAACAATTCATGGCTGACGAGGATAGTGGTTTTAGAAATCCTAGATAAAGTAACGTAAATTTTTCATCTAAGATAATATATCGTACTATTATCTAGTTTTAATAAGTAATTATAATGGATCACATACATTAAATCTAATATTCCTAGATGAAAAAATGATTGTAACATGGTCGTGAAGGATCTTGGACCATTCAGAATACGTTTGAGCATACGCCAGTAAATGTTCTGGCAATAATGAGATGCCAACACAGATTTTGTCAAACAGAAATCTACCACGCCCTACTCATCATCTCTCCTGCTCCGTGAAAGCATCTTCCAATTAACCCAGGAATGACAGGGGATACAACTTACAACGTGATACAACAACAGTAGGTTATTACATTACATCCGACTTCTCAGAAGATGCTAACACCAAAGAAAACTAGTTGCCTAGCCAAGATTTCATCCAAAGTAACACCAAATGACCAATTATTAAAAGACGACGTTCACGCGTGAAAGATAACATGTTCTATTACGATCACCATCTTCTATAACCTTTTACTCTCCCAATACAACCATAGCACTGGCAACGAGCATCAAATCCCTCTCTTCAGCTGCTCTTTGATTTGTCTGATATCCCTTGTCAGCATTCTCGGTGCTATGGCCATTGACATGAGCTCTTGGAACAGCAGTTTGCAGGCATATGGAATGTGAACCTGAGAATCAACCAAAATCAAACACAAACATCTCAGGCTCAGGCTCAGGCACCCATTAAAGCATACGCACAACAATCTATTGTTCGTGTGTGATTAGGTCATGGTAAGGGGGCTTCATAAGAAAAGTATGGGGGTTACGGATTATTGATGGAATTTAACAAAAAATGGCATCAAACTGGTAGTAATTATTACCTGGACTATATCAGTTTTGTTCTTGCAGCTTCTGCACTCAAAAGAATTCTTCTTCAAGTTTGCAATCGCAATCAACCCACAACGCTCACAAACATGGACCCTGTATGCATCACTTTGGTCAAACAATCTTTCCTTAAGAAAGTGAGCAGCACCATGGGCGATCATGCAATCTCTCTCCATCTCTCCAAATCGGAGACCACCATCACGTGATCGCCCTTCTGCTGGTTGCCTGGTGAGGATCTGAACTGGGCCTCTCCCACGAGAATGGATTTTATCATCAACCATGTGCTTCAGCCTTTGGTAATAAGTAGGCCCAAGGAAAATAGTGGCCGTTAAAGGTCTCCCAGTGTGACCATTATACATTCTTTCAAAACCACGCATCTGGTATCCACATTTGTGCAGGGCTTTACTGATGTTATCTACAGTGACATCAGTAAAAGGCGTAGCATCTCCCTCTTTTCCCATGTGCGCAGCAACCTTACCCATGATACACTCAATCAGCTGACCAATTGTCATTCGAGAAGGAATAGCATGGGGATTGACAATAATGTCAGGGGTTATTCCTTCAATAGTGAACGGCATATCTTCTTGAGTGTAGGTCATGCCTACAGTTCCCTTCTGACCATGCCTACTGCTAAACTTGTCTCCAATTTGCGGAATGCGAACAGATCTCACCCTCACTTTAACAAACCTCAAACCATCAGCATTTGTTGTGAGTAGGACCTGATCCACCATACCAGTCTCACTATGGCGCAAACTTGTGCTATGATCACGCTTGGTGTATCGAGTAGCTAATGCTGATGGAACCTGAGCATCATCCTGATGAATAGGAGTGGTCTTCCCAATGATCACATCCTCACCTGAAACTCTCGTTCCTGGTGGGGCGAGACCATCATCATCCAATTTATCATAAGAACCATGTCGCATGCCCATGGTGTTAGACCTATCTGGGCGCCCGAAGTCCTCTTTGACTAAAGTCCCCATCTTCTTCTCCTCATCTCTGTACGATCGGAAAAACAGAGATCGAAAGAATCCACGATCAACAGACGACTGATTCATAATGACAGAATCTTCTTGGTTGTATCCAGAGTAGCAAGAAATGGCAACAATTGCATTGATGCCAGCAGGTAGTTGCCTGAAGTGCAAGTGCTCCATGGCTCGAGTAGTAACAAGTGGTTTTTGAGGATAATATAGCACATAGGCCAAAGTGTCCTGATGCAAAAAAGGAGTGAGTAACCATAAAGTATACATCAACTGATGTAACAGAAAACATGGTGAATAAAGATCAAAATTCTACCATGCGAAATTGGTAGTTTGTGACATATATTCCCATCGCTTGCTTACCCATGGCAGACTGATACGTGTTACGAGGAGACTGATAACCAAAAAAAAAAAGGTTAGACAACTCAAATAAATAGCAATAATACCTTCATTAACATACTATTAGGGGATAAGAGTAGGCTCACCTGATTGTGGTCAGGGAATGGTATAATTGAAGCACAAACACCCAAAATGAGTGATGGGTGAATCTCACAATGCGTATACGTATCAGAATAGGCCTCCTCAGGATTCAGCCTCGCCGTTACAAGATCCTTGAACAATTAGCATTGACATTTCAACATCTCAAATTATCTTAAGACAATGATTGAGAGAGAGAGGGAGAGAGAAAGGGAGGGAGGGACAGAGAGACTCAAGTTACTAACATTAATGGTCATTGAAATCATAGTGGTTTCTTCTTCTTCAGTGTCGATGTATTCTATGAATCCCTTGGCCACAAGGTCATGCCAGCCACCTTCTTCTGGGGACTCCTATAAAAGAATAAGCAGGTCATGATATAAGCAGAAACATCAGAAGCATAAGCAAAGAATAGAGGAAGAATTCAGGATCAAAATGAATGTACCCTTGCTTGCAAGGCTTGAATATCCTTCTTCTTAATCAGAAGCCTTTGCTTTTCCACAATAAATAATGGACGACTGCAGCGGCCATAATCAGTATAGATGCGCAGTTCCTTTAAACGAATATCACGAACTACACCAACCTCTGTGTTAACATCAACCTGTTCATCCAAAAGAAGTAAAATAATTAACACTCTGTGTGACAAACAGCACAATTTGAATAATGCTTATTCAAATTATGAATGCTGGAAATTATGTTGCTGTAGTCTACACATGGATGGGAAAAACACGATCCAGTAACTACTTAAAAGAAAAATTTGCTATGTTTATACAAAAACATGTTAACTAACCCATAAAGAAGTGAACAGATATTCTGAAGCCAATGCTAATTAACTCCACTAGCACCTTATAAAGGTTTTTCTTTTTTAAGTCAATTTCAACACCATTGTGAAAGATGGCTTTTCTCAAATTAAACTTCCTCAATTGATGATTTGGCACCTTTCATTCTACACTGTGATGCAGACATCTAAAAAAATATGAACATCGAGTAGCTTAACCAATGGTATAAGTCCATTCAATAAGATAGTAAATCATGAGGCTGCACACAGATAAGCGCTACAAAAACTACAAAACATGTCTCAGCAATCATGCCTAAACAAAGGACAGTTAAAAAAGAGACAGAAAATCCATCCTCACCCGTCTTCTCAGACGCCTCAGGGTCCTGACCAACATATCAGGGTCACGGTGGATACCAACCCAACAACCATTGACAAAGATTTTTGTAGCTTGTGGAATGACTGCAGGTGAAATTTCCTACAACCCAAAGGGCATGCCTTGAGATCAGTGGTCATATAGAAAATTCAGTCTTCCAAAGATGTAGAGATTTCTCACCTCAAAATTCTCAGTTCCCCATTCCTCCAAAAACTCCAGAATGGGATATGCTGCTGAACCAACTGTTATGTACACCATCAAAGCTAGATTCTTCACAAGTCCACACGCCTGATAAGACAGCAAGGGAGATCAAATATGTGGTTTATCAAACAATCAACATTTGGCAAAATGGGGAAAAAAGAAGCAAATGAACTGCAACATGTCAAAAATTCTCTCATCAGCAGTGTACTCACCTGTCCTTCAGGCGTTTCTGCTGGGCACATCATTCCCCACTGCGAGTTGTGCAATTGCCTTGGTTTGGCCAGTTTCCCTATAATCAAGAACAATCTCGATCAAAGACAATCAAAGAAAATACTAAACTTTAACTGCATGCCTATCACCAATCTTTCCTTTAGTATTTTAATTAGTATTTTAACTTAGTCCCTACTGTCATCAATCTTGTGCATTCATGACTCAGTGAGAGAGGAGGATAGAGAGGTCATGCAAATCCACACATCTCAATCTTTACTGCATGACTAGATGAAACGTACACCCAAAGGAGAACCATTGGAAGAAGAGAGAGGGGGTGGGGGGCGGGGGAGGGAAGACATTCACCTTCACGCCCTATTGGAGAATTTAGCCTCCGCAAGTGTGATAAAGTTGAGGCATAAGTCAAACGATTTAACACCTGCAGTTTTCCATTTCATTCAAGTTAATACCCACTGCATCCCTAGATTAATGAATGACATGTAGAAATCTAAAAATAAACCTGTGAAACACCAGCCCTTGTACCCGCTGCATTTGCTTGCCCCCAGTTACCAGTGGCAAGTGAGTATTTAAGGCCACTGGTTATAGTTTTTGCTTTGATTGCAAATTGCAGGTTAACGTCTTTTCCGTTGTCAACACACTGTAAACAATGAATAACATATTAAACAAGAGCCAATGAAAATAAGCATCAGCATAACTTAAGAGAAGAGTCTGCATTAAGTACCTTCTGAACATAAGCTCTGACATCCCTGGTTAATTTTCTGAACAGCTGCACCCATGCATAGACATCTGAACTTAGTAACAGCCACTTTCAAAAGTCAATTGAATTAAAGAACATCATGATCAATTACAAACCATTCTAAACAGGCCACCAAGCAATGGACCAGCAAGATCCAGTCTTTTGTTTCCATAATGGTCTCTGTCATCTTCTGCCCTCCGGCCAAGTGCACACAGCAAAAGCCGATGGATGATGTAGCTGTTAGGTGCAAAAATTTGTTTATCATAATAAAGGTATCACCTCCAAATACAGTTATGTAACAAATTCAATGCAAGGCATACCCAAAATAGTATGCTTTCTTTGTTTCACAGTATTCTCCAACCCCAACATGTGGGAGCATTTCTTTCTGAAGAATCTCTTTAGCATACCTGTAAGTAGATGAAAAAACATTCTCACATGCAATTCAAGTGGAGAAGCTAGGCATTACTTGAATCAATGACAAACAATTCTCGAGCACATACTTAATCCTCTTTTCCCTTGTGACGCCAACAGTAGCTCCTCTTTTTCCAATATAATCCAGGGCAACCTGCAGCAAATAACATAATTTACCAGACTGAAACAGGAAAAAAATGCACTCATAATTTTCCAAATTCTTAAGCCTAATAAGAAAACATGCAAATGGCACACAAACATGAACCAAGAGAAAAAAGAAAAATAATGCAGGGTACCAAATTGGTTTAAATTGCTAAACAGAAATTCATTAAATATATCAAAGTCTTGGAAGAAACTGTTGCCAACTCAAACCCAGTCACATGTGAGACACGTCCAATTGGAATTTTTTCAAACAAAGGGGGAAGAAACAATTGTGATAGAAGGAATACTTGAAGAGCTATTATGATCAGTGGAACTCGAAGTATCATACACGCACTCAACATACTAAAAGAGAAAACCAGAAAACTTAGAGAAGGCAGGCAAAATCTGCAGAGCTTAAAGCCCTACAAGGAGCCTACCTGTTGATTTTGTATAACAAATGCTTCTTCCAAGGATGGACGAAGCAACTCCATCATTTGGGTATCAGAGAAATCATAGCAAATATGTTCCAGTATATCTTTGTCAGCAACAAACCCCAATGCTCGAAAAACAATAATGATAGGAATTTCTGTTCGGATGTATGGAAGGGTAGCACGTATATACTGGCCTGAAGCACCCTGCAATTACCTCAACTAATTAGCAACTCCCTACCACTTCTGCAGAGAAAAAGTCCAGCAAATAAATGATAAACTTTGGTTCTGCATATACCCCTTTGGCACTAGACCGAGAAAGCATTCGCACAAACATTGTGCTGGGAGGTCTATTCTGTGTCTCGGCCATGGACCGGACTTCTGCCACGTATGCATACTTGTTGGGTTGCCTCTTTTTGAACACATAGACGTGATTAGTGCTCATTTTCTCCTGAGCAATCAGAACCTTTTCACTTCCGTTGATGATGAAGTACCCTCCTTGATCATATGGGCACTCTCCAAGCTCAGTAAGATCCTTTTCTGAGTTCTGGAACAATGTACAGTAACTCGACCGGAGCATTATAGGGACCTGTTCAAACAAATAAGACAAGTATACATTAAAAAGCAGATGATTGATTTCCCAGAGATCATATCATTATTCTCACCCCTCCCCAGGCACCAAAAGAAGAGTTTTGGGGATTGGGGGAAGCTGTTGGAAAGGCAAAGTGAAAAACTGCACCTTCCCAATGAAGACTTTCCCAAAATCCTGAGTCTCAGTAACTTCCTCACCATCATGCCCTTTCTTAATAACTCTCTTTGTCACGTCCACATACAAGGGGGCCGAATATGTCAGATTCCTAAGCCTTGCAGCCTTTGGAAACAATGTTGCAGTTTCTCCATCTGACTCCGTCATCATGGGCTTGCTCAGATATATCTGGCCAAAACTGATCTTATACACAGTCTGCAAAAGCATGATGAACAAAGTTATGACCATTTATGTCCAAGTAACTCTCAGCTCAGTCCTTCAATCAGCAACATAGTTATCAACTGGATAACAAGAAATCAAGAGAAAAATTGTTTGATATCCTCTACTTTACCCAACCCCATAATTGCAGAAAAAAATGGAAAGCACTATAAAAGGAAAATATTCTATACCCGAACTTAGAAAATTAAATCACCCTGTAATTTTTAGCTCCTTTAAAGTTTATAAAACATTCCCATAAAACGCTAATAAGAGTTGAAGACCCCTTTCATTTCCCTTAAACCACAGAAGCTTCTCTAAGTGCAAAGTTGTTACTAGCTCATGTTTCCTTGTTTCCATTCAATTTAACTCACTTAACCATTTCAATTCCACAGAATTCGTCTAGTACTAGGATCCAACTGCTCTGATTGATGAGTTATTATTACTCATACAAAATGTCAGCTTCATATACAATCCAAAACTTGACAATTCCGACAGCAACCGAGCACTAATTCAAACGCTCCCTAACAAAACCCTAGAAAATCTTCCTCTGCAGCCACGCCCAGTGCAGATTGCACATCAAAGACTCCTTAGCCTTTACTTTTACTTCATTCAAACCCTTGAATTCACTAAACACATGCCGTAAACCTCAAATTTGATACTCCAATCCATTACTCAAAAGACATCCTTCAAGCCGCCAAAAAAAAAACCCTAAGCAAAACTCAACTGAGGAATCACCGCCAATTTTTTTCAAAATTACTTCTGAAAAACAGAGTCAGAACTGCATTATTACCCAATTGTCAAGTCATCTTTATCAAATTTAAAAGTTAGTCATATTCGAGCAAGTTCTCGACCTCAGCGAAATCGGACTGGTGACCCGGATTGTGCTGGGACTCAGGTCGGATCTCAATATCCGCGGATTCATCGACTATTTCTTGCATTGTGTTCTGAATAAATTCATCGAAGGAGTCCAGCTGCTGTCTCACTAATCCCTTCTCCTCGAAGTAAGCACTGATCACTGCCCAAGCATCCTCTTGGGTAATCTCCTCCTCCTCGTCGTTGTACTGATTATCCTCGTACTCGTCTTCCATATCCATATTATTTGACTTGGTAGTTCTCTTCAATTCAAAATCAGTAAAACTTTTAGCGACAGTGGACGCCCGATCCGGGTTGGTTTTTGGGTGGAGAGAGAAAGGTCCGAAGAGAGTCCAACGAGCAGGAGAGGAGGAGGAAAATGAGTTGAAAAATGGGGAGAAGGTGGCTTATATCGGGAGGGAAAGAAATGGAAACCGGGGCAAATCAGGCAAGTCGGCGAGGAAAATATTTGGGGGATTTAACCTTTTTTTTTTAAACTTCAATGGGTGATTCGAACCCAATTTTTCTTTTCTTTTTTTTTGTGGATTTGATTTTTCTTCGTACTTATATATTAAATTGATCCCTTTATATATGCACATATATATATATATATATATATATTGAGAAAGTGAAACTACATGGAATTCTTCTATATTCCTATATTTTTGGAAAATTGTTAAAAATGTATTACATAGAACATAATTAACATATAGACAAACTGAACAATGGTTATGCTTTTCACCCTTTTATTTATTAGTTCCCTCATAACATTATACAAAATAATGCAAAATTGAAGAATGTGCACTATTTTCTTGTAGATAAAGTGGATTTTACATGATGAAAACTGTTTTTTAGATTTTAGTTAATATATTGCAGAAAGACATAGAATTGTGAAGTTTTGAAAATTTAAAATTGGGCTTTTCTTGTATAAAAATATAGGTGGCCTTTTTTTTTTTGTGCATTTTCGAAAAGTATTCGTTTAGCGTCCACATTTCTTGCCACCAAAGTTCCTAACTTCCTATATTAGATTTGTCAAGCTTAAGTGCTTAACCACAAAATGTCCTTATTTGAAATATTTTCAAAAGTTTGAGGGTTGAAAAGCTATAAGCCGTGAAGTTGCAGCTAGGGGTGAAATCGAGCCGAGTCGAGCTCGAGTAGTGGCGTACTCGAGCTCGAGCTCGACACAGATCGCCAGAGCTCGAGCGAGCTCGATAACCAAGGATCGAGATCGACTCGATAAAAGTGTATGCAGACTCGAACTCGACTTGATCGAGCTCGACATGTCATTCGAGCTCGATATCAAGTCGAGTACTCGAGCTCGAATGAGCTCGAATTGATCCTGGTTCCTGCGCAAATCTAAAGAATCTAGTCTTTGTATCTTAAATGCAACACTACTAATTTGTACTAAACAATAAACTAAGTTGCACTAATCATTCGAATGAAAGTACATTAATATCAATTGAACAAGATTAATTGCAATTCAAAGAAACAAAACTTAGAAGCCAATTAAAGTCTTGGAGGCTTGGAGCCACATGGACAAAACTTAGAAGCATGCCATTGCATACAGAGGACAGAACCTTCGGCAGAGGTTTCAAACCTTCAACAAGCTTGGGGAATCAGATGCAACCTTCCACTGCACTCTGCCCAGCAACACGCACGACAGGGGAGACAGCAACCATAGCAACGATAGCAACTGTGATGAATTGATCCAAACCAACCATAGCAACTGTGTTACCCCATGGCACATCCTCAACTGTTTCCTGCTTCTTACCCATCCAAATAACTATTCTTTAGACATTCTTAAGTCTTAACATTATAACATACAAGTCCTTTTTCTCTCTCGGAACATAGTTGGGACCCATGATTCTAACCTTCATGCCAGTGGCACTTTTTCCAGAAAACACACGGCCAAAAGTAAAGAAAACATCAAATTAGGTCTAACAAGATGGATGTCTAGCCGATCAAAAACAAATCATGCGAATGACATCAATCTAACAGATCATGCGAGTTGATATCCCAATAATGTTTTGGATCTTAAACTCATTTACTATTGATGCCAGCCACCATCTCATCTTGAAATGGATATTATGGTATCCCATTTTTTTTAATTTGCATTGGATAAAATCAGAAAGCCTTTTGTTTACATTTTCTTATTTTTATCAACGAGAAACAAACAAAAGGAATAGCTCAATCAGATTCAGAGCTGAGTTTAGGAAAAACTTCAGGGCCCAAGAGAAAATTTGTATGAAACTTCAAGCACTACTGTAGCAATAAAGCCTGAAAGTTTTGATAAGATTTCATATATATTCGGCTGGGAATCATAAAGGGGGCTATTAGAAGCTTTGATATGTCTTCAGATTGAGAAACTTTTGTACTTTATGACGTATCCCCTTTTCTGCAGTTTCCTATTCCATGCAGTGTTTTGTTTTCCAGGAAAGGTTAGTTTTAGTTCCGATTGAGAAACTCTTGTTTTCATGCTGTTATTGACCCAAGTAAAAGATCTTTTAGTTTAACTGCATAAGCTAGCATCAAAATTATTCTCCAGAGAACATAACTGAATATTCTCATTAATCTCATTAATATACTAGCTAATTAACACTTAATAATCCAACTTAAAGCAAATTTCTGAAATCAGTGCATTTTCACATCAAAGAAAAACCCATAAACATGTTAGAGCCAATGTCAAGAAACTTACCAATTCTTGGAGCTATCGCGCCAACCACCGAATCACTTGTTGAAGGAATCGAGCTGCCCTCCATTTCCTCAAAATTCCAGTACAGCAATGGAGAAGGAATGGGATACGGAAATTGAATATATTGAATCGCAGGCTGCAGCCCCCAATTTTTTTGGTTAGGGTTTGGAGATTAAAAATTAATATTACATTTATAAAATTTAACCTCATAATGCACATATTTACTACACAAATGCACAATAAGTACCTTAATTTGTCAAATGCAGCTGTTGAAATTGATGGGTTTTGATTTGATTTGAAACCCCCACTCAAAGGTCGGCTGCTCAGTGCTCACGCTGCTACCTACTCCAAGTTGAGCTAAACTGCTGAAGTGTTTATAGCTTTAGATGATCAGTTGTGACTTGTGACAGTTGAGGAGATGAGCCAAAGAATAAGAGATTGCGATTTGAGAGAGGCTGAAGAGGAAGGAACGGCCGAACGAAGAAGAAGAAAGAACTGTGAAGGATGAATTCGACGGAAGCTTTTTCATTTTTCGTTTTTAGTTTTCCTCATTTCATCAGAATTCTCGAGCCAAAATTACTTATTCACCCTTGTTTACTAATTGGCAGGGAACTGCTTAAGCCCGTAAATATTCTAGCTAACAAACCTAAAAGAGTAAATTGATATATAAACTAAAATAAAAAATATATATGTGCTACCGAGCTCGAGCTACTCGTCGAGCTCGAATTTCTGACTCCTAAATACTCGAGATCGGCTCGTTTACTGTAGCAAGTAGATCGAGATTGACTCGAACTCGAATTTGCTCGAAATCGATTCGAGTAGCTAATCAAGCTACTCGCGAGCTCGATTCAAGCTACTCGAATTCTCTGCACCCCTAGTTGCAGCACTGTACTTGGAATATTGAATACACTCAAGCAAAATTGATTTATCAAACCTGTAAAATTGTAGCTATCAAAATTTGGAGAATGCATTTTTTTTAGAAGCTAAGAAGCAAACTTTTTTTTTTTTTTGAGGGTACAACAAAGTTTTCATTCATTCAAATCATAGATTACAGATTTAATAAACGAATGAGGGAAATCATCCCACCAAACAGTTGAGAAAATTTTGCTAAAACATGAGCTAACAAATTTCTAATTCTACAAACATGGGAGATTTGACAACATCGAAAAATTTTATTTAAGTATCCGGGTCTTGTCCGATAGATTACTAAAATTAGAAAAATCACTTCATGGCAAAGCTTGGCAAACCTAAATTTGGATACAACTATTTATGTGAAATATCTGAATTGTAATAATAATCAGAATCGAATTCATTCAAACTCTTATATATTATATATACCGAATAAAGAAATATCTGAATTGTGATTAAAAAAAAGTTTTGAATTGGGCCCCAAGATGTCAAGTCATGCTACTGTTCATGTTTCAACTAGATCACTAAAAAGTACTTGGAAAATTAGATCAATTGGAAAATAATAACCAAAAAGCATGGTGAATTTGACGTCACACATTCACATTTTGGGCCTCTGAGAGTAATTGGGCGCAGGTCTATTTTGTATGGGTAGAGTTTCTTATCTACGTGTCAAAGCCCAATACGAACATCCGAGCCCGTCATTGCAGATGGATACGTAAAAGCATCAAACTGATCCAGAGGGCAAAGTTTCCGGAACTGAGACTTCTTGTGCTTCTGCTCTGAACACCGGATGACCAAGTTCAAGTCCAACGTATAATCATTTTTGATGATTTTTTTCAGTGCAAGTGCGAGAATTACTTGTACTCCCTCTTCCATATCGTTTAATCTATTTCTTCCCTTATTGGGACGAGTATATTTTGCAAACAAAGACAAAAGAGATAAATATTATTATTCTTGGACAGTTGCACACTTGCACTGAGGTATTTCCCTCTTTTTTTTTTTTTTTTCTTTTGTGTGGTTGTAGAAGCAAAAGAAATTTGTATGTCAGACCAACAACTAAATAAGGATTTAAATTCATGAATGAGCTAAAAATACTGAAAATTTTTGAATTAAGAATGTGTTTAATAAAACTGAATTCTGAAATTTAAAAGCTGAAGTTCGAATCCATTAAATTATTGAATTGTCATGCACTAAATCTGATACATTTGAGTATATATTACATTAAGTGGTAAGTTAATAGTTTTTCATTTATTTTGAGAGCAAGTTTTGCCTAAAAAATAATAAAGATGGAAAAAGTTACAGGAGTACTTTTTATTTTGGTGTATAACCCCCAGGTCTGTTATCACTTTGAAACTGTTATTACATTTTTAGTAACAGCACACGCTTGAATCGTAATTTCTGAGAGGTGTATTATATTTGAATTATCGATAAGCGTCAGTTGTCAAAACGAGTTTATGAGGCACTGATTTTTCCATCATATTGAGCTGTATTAATTGTAGTTGGATAGTTTTAAACCTCGTCAACTTTCAACCCAAGTGAGCCAGTCTCTAGGGCTGCAAACGAATCGAGCCGCTCGCGAGTCTCTAGTCTCTACCATTGCCTTTCATTGCGGACAGATCGACTTAAGTGTAACAAATCAATGATTGATGGACTAGCTACTCGATCAAAATACTGGCTAGTTATATATACTTCTTAGTAAGAAAATTGTGACTTTATGTATCTTTGTATTTCTTGCATGCATCTTTGTTTGCCGAAGGAACACCATGCATGCAGATGTCTGTCCATACACTGGCTATGAAGGACAATAAGAGCTATTCGATTGAGCAAAATGTCAACATTTTTTTGTCAAACAAGATTAGTAATCCTGAAGAAATAAGATTAATATATAACTCGATACAATTTCAAGTACTCAGCAGTTGATCCCATCTAAACTGCTGTAGCTAATCTTCATTCAGAATTTGCTGAGGAGATTTGCTCTTTGCTGAGGCAAGAATGAAAACAGAATGATCACTTGAAACTTTTCAGTTTGATCCAAGTTAGAAGCAAGCACATAATGCATGTGTTGTTTCACATATATACTCACAATTAATTGATTATTTGACCTCCCAAAGGGTGATGAGTAATGACTCTCCAGCATTAATTAATTTGTGAAACGTATATTAGACTTTTCACCGACATGTGCACGTTATTACCACTGATTAGTCCCGGAAATAATCTGCTGGTGGGTCGTTGAGCTGTCCATTACAATGGCACAAATAGTCCAATATTCATTTCTCAATCTATTAAACAAAGAAAAAGGTCAAAGATCATTCTTTAAAGTAAACTGACCCTTACATATGATGTAAGAGGCACAACTCTTCCATGCAACAACGTGGGAAAACTACATTGGCACTTTAAGTAATTCATTTTGCCCTTCTTCAAGTCGAGAGAGATTGGTAATAATAATGACTATCAAAAGATGTTTCTTTTGGTAATTGTGTTTTAATTAAGTTAAAATGATAAAATCTTATCAATTTTTTTTTTGCATTATTATTGTCTATATAATATATAATATCTAAACAATGGCAGTCGGTGTAAATAATATTTTTTTGTCATCTTTTAAACTTTCAATTTTACCATTATAAAAATTAATTTTTATTCTAATCACCTAATCACATTTTTATCAATATAACTGCTCGTAATCACTCTAAATATTGTAACTACCAAATTACTATAACCACATAAACCAAAGCTCTTTCATGAAATTTTTATATAATTTTTTTTTTTTTTGCATGTAACAAACAATACTTATACAGAATTTATTTATTTTAATTGTTCCCTAATTGCACACATATTGGATGTACCTTAACACTAATAACAATTAAAAGAATGAACAATACTCCTAAAGTCTGCTATATTATATGTTCTTGTCTAGATTATACAAAACGATCAATATAGAAAATTTTCTGATGTATGGAGTCCGATCTAGTACTCTTAGAAAATGACCCTTGTTGAGTCTGATGATTTAATCAAATTGTGGTGCAAATGGTAGTCTATACACCCATTAGGTTACCAAGAACGCGACCCGAGAAGACAAGTCTACCACCCTCGTATCTGCCTTTCCTAACTCCGGCGGTACACCTCTTGCTATCCACCCGTCTTTTTCAGTAAATTATATATACTTGTCCTTGACATCATATTTTAAACTTCAATCTCCTTCATTTGAACTAGAAAATTGCAAAAATTGTTTCCTTGCCTCAGTCGATCGATCCAACTACAATCCTTTCCAGAACGCCATCTCCCAACTGACTGATTTTCCTCTCTGAAGCCAGGCCTGTCTTGATGACTTTGGCTAAGAGAGTCCCCATCTTTCTGCTCAGGCTCCTGGCCCTGGGAGCTTCGGTTACTGCAGCAGTTGTGATGGTTTCAGCACGTGACTCTGCTCAAGTCTTCAACATGACCTTTGAAGCAAACTATACCAATTCACCAACTTTCAAGTAAGGGACTCTTTTTCCTTCCTTTATTTTTGTGTTTAATTCTTTCTGTACATGCAACTGAGGACTAATGGAGAGAGGGAGAAATGTTTTCATATCCCCTCCTTGTCAGCCTGGTATACATTAAATGCTCTACCAGTGACAACTGAGCTAGCCCATCGAAAGTATATTTATGAAATCATAATATGTTTGGATACAAGATTATTTGAAAAAAGTTTTTTTGAGAAGAATATGGCAGTAATTATTGTGATCTGATGCATGTAAAATAAAGTAATAATTGATAATTGTGTTTATGATGCAACAAGAAAAAAATTTACAAAAAAAGTGAGCTATCCGAAAACCCAAATTGTTATGGCTTTGTAACATGCTGTTATCTTCTGGAACAGATACTTTGTGATCATAAATGCAGTGGCAGGTGGCTATACCCTCATAGTACTGTTCTGTCCGTCTAAGGTTTCACTGTTCCGATTCTTGTTAGTCTCAGATTTGGTACGCGATTATCTTCTTTCTCTTCTCTTCTCTTCACTTCTCTCATGATCGATTACTGGCCGTTATGGTAAAATATTGCCTTCTGATCTTTCTTGCGTTTACATAGATTGTTACGCTGTTGTTGGATTCAAGCGTTTCAGCTAATATAGCCATCGGTCAAGTGGGAAAGCATGGGAACTCGCACGCTGGCTGGTTACCTATCTGTAATCAAGTTCCAAAGTTTTGTAACCACGTTGCAGGAGCTCTTATTGCTAACTTTGTGGCTTCCTTAGCGTATTTAGTTATTCTTCTTTACTCTCTTCACATTGTCCTCAATCTTCCTAAACCTTAAAGGTTTATGTCCTCTAGCTCTTATGGAGATTTTGTCTTCTTCTTTTCTTTTCTTTTCTTTTTTTTTTCTCTCCTTTAGCTTCGACATTTGCCCTTCAAACTTCTATACAGTAGATGATATTATCCATCAATGAATACGACTAGATATATGGCAGCTGCTTGAATTAGCACGCAATAACGTATTGTGTCATATAGAAAGGAATTGAGATCCTCGTATTATTGTACATTTTTTGGTTTCAAGGGATGAAAAGTCTGTCTTCATTGTCAGTTTGTAACTCTCTCTTCCCGTAGGAAATGAATGGATGATGCCACCGTGCAATTTGAATTTGTTCAACTTACTTGTGCAATTTGGTTTATTATTTTTTTTGTTTCCTTAAAATCCAATAATTATTTTAGTTCTTTTTTTGTTTTCTTTAAATTTAATAACTATTAACTGAGTAATACACAAAATTTAACAAATTTAAAAAAAATTTTAATGAATTTTCTGCTATATTTTTTAATTTTCTATTACATGTTACTTTTTAAAATTATTGTATTTATTTTTTACTAAGTTAATAGTTATTGAATTTTTTAAAAAATTAAAAAGAACTAAAATACGATGCCCTTGAAGATAAAATTGTAGTATAATAAAAAGTGAGACAAACAGTAGCACAAGAAATGAAACAGAAAATCCGCTACATACATACGTTGCACTAATCTCAACATAAGACTAACGTTGCTAAAAGCCTATCTTTTACAAAGATGTTTGGACTCGGAAATCTCAATGATTTGCATATTTACGTCTGCTGTGTGTATGAAGATGTGATCATTCAAATAGACAACTAGCAGATCAACTGAAGCTCTTACTGCTAAACGTTCTCAATCTCAATTTTACAAAGATGTTTTATTTCAAACATCTTAGAAGACTTACTTTGATTATCCAAGGACTCGATGTTTCATAAGTTGCTCGTTGAATCGAACCATAACAACAAAACCTTACTTGTGCTCGATAGTCTGCCAAAAGTTTTTTTTTTTTTTTTTTTTTTTTTTTTTTTGGGAATGTCCAGAGAATTTATGCTTTTTGTAAAAATATGTAAACATCTCTTGTTGTACATGATTGAGTGTACATGAACTTCAAATACTTATTATATAGAGAATGATAATGCATAAACTATCACATTTGGATATATGACATATATATATAATTTATATTTTAAATTCAAATTTAAATTAGTTATCGTACATTCACTAAAAGATTAATTTCTAAAGAATACTTGAAAATAGAGTAATAGCGCAACCGTGTAAGTAACAGGTGAGGTGCCCGGATCATGACTTTTCTAGGTGTAAAACTTGTTACGAGAGAATTAGCATTAAAAATCTAAAGTTGACTTAAAAAAGTATTAAATTTCGTGGTTTGCAAAATGAAAAAGCCCAATGTTGTCAACATTTTACTTTCTTTTTTTACAAATGGTATGTTACGTACTTCATATTTTGCCGGTATTTTTTTTTTAAAAAAACAATGAAAAAATCGTTCACTTGGGGGGAAAGCCAGGCCTAGATCCAGCACAGCAAATTTTAACGGGGCCGATCTTGGGCCGAATTGGGAGCTTTGGTATGGACCGAATTCAGGCTCAGCAAAGCTGCTGTAAAAAAACCCAGTAACAGGCCTGTAGTATTATTATTATTTTCATTTTTAACAGTAAGGGCAATAATATTAGGATTAACTTTTATGCATTGATAATATAGTAATTTTCTTACAATAGCAATCTTGGATATATGTTATATGTATATGATTTGAATTTTAATTTTGAATTCATATTATATGCTTGTGTAAAAAAACTTTATACTGATACTAACAGTATATAAAAAAAATTATCCACAATACTAACTTGGGTTGCGCCTAGAGTACACCCCATCGAGTTTTGGAGAGTAAAAGGTGAAAAATCTCTCCCGATTGAATTGCTATTTTTTGAATTTTTTTATAAAAAAAATGTATCGTAACGATTTGATAAATTAAAAGAGTGACTAAAAATAGATTCACGAAAAACTTAAATTTTTTTTTTTGAGAAAAAAAACAATCCATATCTTTTGTTTTTATTACTGTTCCAATATAAACTGCAAACATCTTAGACTAATGTACTTTCTCGGCCGCAGAATTCATGCTAAAAGTGAAGAATGATGATAATTAAAGAAGATCTTGCTAGAGTGAAAATTTGAGCTTCTTTTTTTTTAATTTAATTAACGAAGCCTATAAAAACATATTATGTTTTGATAAAGGAAAAGGAATTTGAGCTTCAAATCATCCATTTTCTCATATTGAGTCCTGGCTAGATTTCGCTTCTAACGAAACAAAAGGCAGTCAATTTTCTATCTTAGTGAGTCCGACCGAAAGGAAGGCCAGAACTACCACTTGCCCGCCGCATATCCAATTTGTCCATGTCAAATCCCAAAGAAACCGAGGCAGCGATGACAATTGTCAATGGCTAAAGGTACCCCGCTAAAATCAGCTTTCTGCAGTTACGCAGCGCAAGTGACCTAACCAAAAATAAAAGGAGTCCAAATGAAACTCCCACCACAAAAAATTCAATACAGCCACCTATTGAAATGGTTAAACGGACCATGCCAGCCATAATATCTATCCTGTGTCCCTTCACTTCTTCTTTCTGGGATGTGTTACCTAGGAGGGCATTAACAGAATTAACTAAATATTCTAGCACTTCCACCTGGAGAAAGATCAGTAGGGAAAGATGAGTTGTAGAACAGGAGCACTCATAACCACCAGTCATTTTGCTAGCACTTCAATTTTTGATGATTTCAAGGTATCCACCGAGTTTCATCGTCCCAAGTCATGTTCAAGTGTTCGGATTCAGTGCTCTTCTTCGAGCCCACACCTGCATGTTACTACTGGTAATCCCAACTCATTCAACTTTTCTTGTTCTCTCTTCAAATTTGCGGTGCCTTGGATTCAAGATTCTGAATTCACAGCTGCTTTTCTGCATTCGTCAACTGAGGCTTCTGATGCCCCTGTGTTTGTTCCTCTTGGTTCTTTTTCTCTTTTCCAGACTTTCCAGTTTGCATGACCATAAAATTCGTCTTAATCTGATCTTTGATTAACAGAGAAATTTGGGAATGATGCTTCATTGACTGGTGGAGCATATGACTTCGAAAAGGCAACAACATCCCTTACTCAGAAATTATTGTTTACTCCCAAGAAGGTTACCCTTGTTCGCCATGGTCTCAGCACTTGGAATGAAGAAGGTAGAGTTCAGGTTTGTTGGCCTTGATTTGAAAATCCACTTTTCTTTTAACTTTATCTCCTGCTTCCGTGGCTTCTCTACCTCTGCTTAAGCTCATTTTGCTCCATCTGCTAGACTACTGGATCAGTTGTACCGATTTGATTTATATTAAAGTAAGTTTTGTTCTGTCTTAATTAAGAATTCTTGGTAATTTTAAACCTGTAAGTTCAGAGATTATTTGGTGTAGCACCTAGGTTGCAGAATTCAGATTTTATGAAAGTCTATCTAGCTGCAAGGCTGCAACTGTAATTCTAAATTTAGGAAAACATGTCAAACAATAATCACAGGAAACAAACTTTATGATAGAGGGAAAAAGATTGGCAAAAATATATGGTAGATGGAGTTTACAGAACAACCATGAATACAGTGCATGTATATCCTTTAAAACTCAGTAGCTATAGATCCTTGATCTCATGTGAATGTGGTATACTTTGTTGTATTAGTAAAATTCAATTTGAGGGCCTAATGACAAAAATCATTTGCTTTACTGTTGTTCCAGCATAATTGCCTATTCACTATTTCTAATCAGCTAATGCCATTGTGTTGCTTTAGGGAAGTTCAAATCTCTCCACTTTGACTGAAACTGGAGTAGCTCAAGCAGAGAGGTGCAAGAAAGCATTAGTTGATACGCACTTTGATCAATGTTTCTCCAGTCCAATATCACGTGCCAAGGTCCAAAAAATAAGATTTGTTTTGTATTTTGTGTGTGCTTCAGTGGATGATCCTATTCCTTAATTGCCACTCTCTAATGCAGTCCACAGCTGAAATTATATGGCAAGGTAGGGAGCAGCCTTTGGTTTTTCTTGATTCGCTGAAGGAGGCCCATCTATTTTTCCTCGAAGGGATGAAAAATGGTCAGTCTTCTTTTGTTTTGGACGCGTTCATTCCTTTCCTATTTGTGAATTAATCGAGTTTGTCCATAGATAAGATACAAGTCATTTATAACCTTGATGTAATGCTTCACTATATATTCCTCTGCAATATTTTTCATTTTCCTAAATCACATTTAGTATCTGGAGGCAGTGGATGCTTTGCGGATGTATCCAAAGGAGTATTCAACATGGAGAGAAGATCCAGCAAATTTTATTGTGAATGGTGTCTATCCAGTTCGGAAACTTTGGGACACAGCAAGTGATGCTTGGAAAGAAATCTTACTTACACCTGTAAGATTCTTGTAGTTGCTGTGCATTTCTAGTTATTGCACTGAGAACTGCATTGATTATGTTTCTGAAATTTTCTTGGCTGTGTGGTTTGTGAAACAGGGAGAGAATTTTTTGGTTGTAACGCACAAATCAATGTTGAGAGCGCTGATCTGCATTGCTCTTGGACTAGGCCCAGAGAGGTATTCATTACTTGACAAGAGTAACTTGAATAGTGTGTTGCACCTTGTATAAGTGACTAGTAGTATCAATCATTCTTCCTAAATAGAATTTCTACAAGCCAAAGTCCTTGCAGGATGGGGATAATGTCTCACAATCTTGCGTGAAATGTCTTCTTATGTCATGTCTATTGTATTTTGCAAGATACTACCTGCCCTTTTAATAGCATTTTTACCTTACAACAGTTTTGAGTAACTTGACTCATTCAGCAGTTCTGGGTTAACTGCTTTGCATTCTTTCAGGTTCCGTGCAGTCGACATAAATAACGGTGGGCTATCTGTGTTCAACTTCAACAAACAAGGGGAGGCAATGCTTCAATCATTAAATATGACAGCTCATATGTACACTGATCACATCTACAGGCATCAGAAAAAAGTGAAATGAATGAAGTAATTGAACAGAAACAAGACCATAATCTACTAGCAAAGTTGCTGATCAGAAAAAAGCCAAGTTATCCGTGAACGTTGATCAGAAACAAGCCAAGTTTGTCGTCCGAGAGTCTGGGAAGCAGGCAAGGAGCCAAAAAGAAGCTGAGAGATTGGAAAGAGGCAGTT